CATCTTGTGTCCAGCAGGAAAACTTTAGAGATCAACAACATTTGTATATTCAGAGATTCTGGAAGTTTTAATGAGGTAGAAGGAGGAGATGCCTATGACTATTTGTATATATATCTAATGCATATTTGGAAGGGGTCTTTATGGTGTGACAGACTCTGTCCCAACATAATTCATTTCCCAAAAAACCTCTAAGAAAGGGAAGAAACCTATAGCTAACTCTAAATTGGGAGAATAATAGGAAGTCAAGTCAAGGTACATGGCTCTAGGAATAAGGTAGATATTAAAATATTCCTAAATGAAAATAGAATAAGCATTTACTATATAGTCTGTGTAATGCAACAAGTGGTAAAAACTGTTATATTGACGCAGACTCTTCACATTCTATTCTTGGCTTTTCTGTCATTATGAGAAAATACAAACATGACAAATTCTTCCTTTCAGCAAATGAGCACTGGTCCCATGAATACTAACAGCGAGGTGTGACTGGTGAGCTTCATGCACTAATAGGCCTCACCGGCTGACCACATTCCACAGCTGTGTGGCTCAAGGTCCAGACACACACACACACACACACACTCATACCGCCCTTGTATCTGCTCCTTCAAAAAGTAATTCAGGGAATTCAAGGGAGTCAGTAAGTTTCAGCCAAGTCTCAACTACCTTCAAAGTGTTCCCACTGTATGAAAAGGGTGCTTAAAGTTCATTTGGGATTTACGACATATGCTATTTTAGACACGTATTGGCCTTCATCCTGGACTTATGGGATAAAGGTCTATTATTTCAAATGGGGATAATAAAGAGGACTGTTTTTTTGCACTTCAGTATGTTTCGCATTATGGTATATTAGAGCAGCAGCCCTTTTGCCTGACATACCCCCACAGCCCAATGAAATGAACTCATACAACACTTCATCAACGCTACTCATCATTCCCCACGCAAGTTTTTATTTGTTTTAAACTTGATGTTATATAACACTATTCATTATATGAAAGTATTGTTAGAATTTTAGCCTTGCTAACAGTGTTGCTCTAGGAATGACATTGTAGTTTGTTGCAGGGGCGTTTCCAGAGGGGGGGCCTGAGGTGGCACTGCCTACACCTGTAATCTGATTGGCCAACCCATTATCCTTACCTCTTCCACTCTGTCTGTCAGAGGCTGTAGCATGCTCAGTTCTAAAGCTAGAGTGAAGATAATGGTATCATATAAAACTAGAT